CAGGTGATTGCAGAGCCCCTGACAGGGGTGCTAGGAACTGAACAGTTGGCAATGGTCACATTAGTCACTGAATTCTTTATGTCCACTTCCTTCTTGGTTTTTCGAGACAGGGTTTCTCTATAGCCCTGGCTGTCCTGGAGCTCACTCTGTAGACCAGGCTGGCCTCGAACTCAGAAATCCGCCTGCCTCTGCCTCCCAGGTGCTGGGATTAAAGGCGTGCGCTACCACCGCCTGGCCACTTCCTTCTTTCTTCAGGGTTTTTAAAGGTTTCCCTTTTATTTTACTTTATTTTATTTTGAGACGAGGGTTTCACTATGTGACCTGGCTGGCCTGGACCTCTACATAGGTCAGACTAGCACTGAACTCAGAGAGATCTGGCTGCCTTGCTTTCTGACCTCTGGGACTAAAGGTGTGCACCATCACTACCAGCTGAGTGGCTTAAGTTTCAATTGCAGACATCTTTCAGATCCTGGATTGGTTTAAGTATTCTATTTCATTTTATTTGAGTTGATCAGAATTTCTCCCTGGTTTCTTTTTAGGTGAATTCATTATTAATACATGTTCTTTTCTTTTCTTTTCTTTCTTTCTTTCTTTCTTTCTTTCTTTCTTTCTTTCTTTCTTTAATGAAACAGGATTTTAGTATGTAATATAATTCTGGCTATAGATCAGGCTAGCCCCAAACTTATAGAGATCTACCTGCCTCTACTTCCTGAGTACTGGGATTAAAGGTGTTTGACACCACATCTGGCCTCATTTTATCTTAAAAAAAAAAAAAAGACTAACTGTTTGTTTGTATTCTGTGTTTATAGGTGTTTTGTCTGTGTGTGTACTGTGTATGTATAACCCTAGACATCAAGTCTCCTGGAGCTGGAGTTAGGAGTAGCTGTGAGCCGCCATGTGGGTGCTGGCAACCAAACCCAGCTCCTCTGCAAGAGCAGCCAGTGCTCTTTAGAGCCAAGCAATCTCTCCAGCCCATTTTACCTTTCTGAGATGAGCTCTTGCTGTGTGGCTCAGGCTGGTCTTGAACAAACAGAACTTGTGTCTGCACTGAGTTGTCTCATTAACGTTGTCAGAGATGAGCTGGCCTTAGCATCAGGTTTCATTCTGGACTGAGCTGTTTCCTTGATTTCTGCAGCGCCATGCTGATTATGACTACTGTAGCTTTGTGAGGGTGAGTTTAAAAATCCTTTCACTCTTTCTACTGGTTCATTTGTTTTAAGTCAGGGTTCTGTTCTGTAGTCCAGGCTGGCCTTGGTCTTCCTTCCTCAGCCTCCTGAGTGCTGTGATTCCACGTGTGTGCCAACACCTGGTTTTTGGAGTAAATTTTATATGAAATCAGGTGCTTTTTCTAGTCTCCATGGCTCTGGAGCTCCCTCTTCTGGTGCTTTCCTGCATTGTGTTTAAATTAGTTCCATCATTTCTGAGATCTGGCTGTTTCTTTGTGTGTGTGTGTGTGTGTGGGTGTGGGTGTAGGAAAAGTGTGTGTTGTGAGTGTGGTCACACGTGTTCCATGCATGTGAACAGCTTTTGGGAGTTGATTGTCTCCCTACTAAGAAATGTAATTTCAACCATACAGTCTCAGTCCTGTACAGGAAACACTTTTATCTGCTAGATCTTCATGCTAGGCCCTTCTGCTTTTAAGTTTTGTTTGTTTGTTTGTTTGAATGTGGTTTGATATGTAGTTTAGGCTGGCCTTGAACTCCTGACCTTCCTTCCTCTGTTTTCCTGGCCCTGGAATTACAGGCATATGCTACTGTGCTACACTTTTCTGTTTCATCTTTTTTTTTTTTTTTTAAAGATTTATTTATTTATTATATATATGAATACACTGTATCTGTCTTCAGACACACCAGAAGAGGGCCTCAGATTTCATTACAGATGGTTGTGAGCCACCATGTGGTTGCTGGGATTTGAACTCAGGACCTCTGGAAGTGCAGTCAGTGCTCTTAACCACTGAGCCATCTCTCCAGCCCCCCCTTTTTTTTTTTTTTATATAGCTACTTATTTAGTTTATATGAATACCCTGTCTCCGTCTTCAGACACACCAGAAGAGAGTATCAGATCTCATGACAGATGGTTGTAAGCTGCCGTGTGATTGCTACAAATTGAACTCAGGACCTCTGGAAGAGCAGTCAGTGCTTTTAACCACTGAGCCGTCTCTCTCTCTAGCCCTCTGTTTTATCTTTTAGTCTGTGTGTGTGTATGCTCGTGCGTGTGCATTGTGGTGCTTGTGTGTAGCTTGAAGGACAACCTCGGATGTTAGTCTTTCCCTCTGTTTCATCTGAGACTCGGTCTCTTGTTGATCTCTCACTGTGCTACATAAGCCAGGCATGCTGGCCCAGGGGCTTCTAGGAACGCCTCTGTCTCAGGCTCCCGAATCCCTATAGGAGCTGGGTCACAGGTGTGCCCTCTGTGTCCAGCTTTATGTAGGTTCTGGAAATCCAAGTTTAGGTCCTTGCACTTACATGCAAATGCACCCGCTGAGCCGTCACTTGGCCCCCTTCCTGCTTTTTATTTTTGGACAGTGTATTCCTTTGTAGTTCTGGCTGACCTAGAACTTGATATGTAGACCAGGCTGTCCTTGAACCTGGTGGCAATCCTTCTGTTTCAGTCTCCTTCTGTCTTTTTTTTTTTTTTTTTTTTTTTTTTTTTGGTTTGTTTGTTTTTGCCTATGCTTCTCTGCTTCTGGTGGCTATATACTTAAAAAAAAAAATCCTACCATAAAAACAGAAAGGAGCACACTGACCCCGACCTTCCTGTGGACACAGACCCTTCTGACCATCCTTAGAGGCAAATACTAACGTACCGGGGTCCACTAGTAGTTGAGTACTGTGGATCTCTCCCTGCCCTTATCTAGTGACAGATTCCAGAAGCTGGACATGGTAATGCACAGCCGTGACCCCAGCATTGGGGAGGCAAAGGTGGAGGATGGGGCCCAGGCCAGCATGGAACTCACTGTAGCCCAGGCTGGTCATGGACATGGGGGCAGCTTCCTGCCTCTGATGCCCTGCCTTCTCATGCTTCTTCTCCCCTCCTTCCTTCCTGTTGGGTGCAAGGATTGACCCTGGACCTTATTGATGCTGTGTGAGTGCTTTACTCTGTAGCCACCCTACACTAAGACAGTATTTATGAGATGTTCTTGAACATGCTTCTGTTGTTTAAATATATCCAAGTGGTGGTGGTGGTGATGATGATGATGAGATTTTGGACACAAGCTCTCTTTATGTAGCCCCGGCTGTCCTTGAACTTGAGGTTTCCTGTTTTCACCTTCCCAAGTGCCACCCAACCTGACTCTTGAAGTGCTGTTTTAAAATTGATGATTTATGTCAGTTGAAGAACATTAACTACTACTTTGTTCAGGCATTCCTGGGCTGGTGGTCTAGCTTCCTGCCTGGGTTCGGTACTCAAGATTGCCAAAGGCAGGGGAAAAACATGGTGGGACATGCCTGTGATCTCAGCATTCAGGACTGGGGTCGGGAAGGTCAGGAGGTCGTATTTTAGTAGGTAGACACTCTGGTTAACCCTCATGCCTTGAGTCTGACCCCTGAGAGGTGAAAGAGGCACGCTGATTCTCTCAAGCTGTTCCCTGACCTTCTTTTGCTTGCTGTGGGTATTCTTTACTTTGTATTGCTGTAAGGAATGACCATGACCAGAAGTGACTTATGGAGGAGAGCTTAGTTTGGCTTCCTTTATGGTTCGAGAATGGCTTCCCTGTGTAGGAAGCTGGCTGATTATATTTTGTCATACTTGGAAGAGACAGTGAACAAGAAGTGGGGTAAGATTATGCCTCACTAAGTCCACCCTTAGTGGCATTCTTCCTCCTGCAGGTTATACACTCTCCCAAGCAGCTCTGATGCCTAGGAACAGGTATTCAAAGCCCTGAGCTTGTGGGGACAGGTCCATTGAAACCACCCTATTGTGGCACCCTTCCCCCCCAACATACACACAAATAAATAAAATGTAATTTTAAAAAGATAAAGTAGGCCGGGCGGTGATGGCGCACGCCTTTAATCCCAGCACTTGGGAGGCAGAGGCAGGCAGATTTCTGAGTTCGAGGCCAGCCTGGTCTACAGAGTGAGCTCCAGGACAGCCAGGGCTACACAGAGAAACCCTGTCTTGGGGAAAAAAAAAAAAGATAAAGTAGGCAGAGCTAGAGAGATGCAGTCATTAAGAACGCTTGCTACTTCTTCAGAGGACCCTGGGTCAGGTCCAGGCGCCTGTGTCTGATGGACTGTAATGCCAGCTCCAGGAGATCCGATGTCTTCTCACTGTACAGGTACTTGTATTCCACTTCTCATAACCCTGCCCGTGCACACACACATCATTCCAAAGTGAAGTAAGTTAAAAAGTGAGGTTAAAAAGCTCAGAGGTATCCTGTGACCTAGGAAGGTCACGGCCTGAGTTCTCATGGGACCATCTCTGTCTCCCCTCCCAAAAAAAGATCTAAGACCTCAGGAATTGAGGGGTGGGCTAGACTCTGCTCCCCAGTGGGTACCTTTGCTTTTTAAAATTTATTTTTTAAACCATATGTATGTGTCAGGGGATGGGGCAGGTTGTGTGTGCAGGTACCCAAGGAGGCTAGAGGTGTTGGCTCTCCTGGAGCTGCATGCCAGCGGGCGAGCCTTATGACACGGGAATTAGACTCGGGTCCTCTCAAGAGCAGTGCCTGCTCTTAATCTCAGAGTCATTTCTCCAGCTCATCCCCCACCAACTCTACACATCAGTCTTGCCAAGGTGTGACCCTTCCTGTCTTCGGTGCTCCATATTGAAATGGCCCTTACATAGAGGCGGTGCTCTTGGTTGCGGTCAGGTTTGTCCCTGGCACTGTTGCCGACCATGTGGGTTTCAGGGATTCCCAGCTTTGATACTTTGAATGCGGTTCTCTGTCAGCCTGTATCTTCTTTGTTCCATGGCCTGTGGGCTCAAAAGAAAACCTTCGCGGATGACAGGAACTTGAGAAATACTGATCAGGCTTTTGAGACCTGTTTTCTTTCCTCTAGGGGAGCCAGGAAGTGGAACGGAAAGCGATACTTCTCCAGACTTCCACAATCAGGAAAACGAGCCTGCGCAGGAGGACCCCGAAGACCTGGACGGTTCTGTTCAGGGAGTGAAGCCTCAGAAAGCTGCCTCTTCCGCCTCCTCAGGGAGCCATCACAGCAGCCACAAAAAACGGAAGAATAAAAACCGGCACAGGTTAGTGGCAGGGTCCCACCCTGAGTCCTCACACCTGCTGGGCGGGACTTGGTTGTAATGAAGATGCCTGGGACAGGGCAGAGCCCTCCTGTTGCGGGTGGCAGAAATTCTTCTGGTGCAAGTTAAGTGGGGTGGTGTTCTCTGAGGGAGGAGTGGGTGGCAGTAGAGAGGCCCTGAAGGAACAACAGGAGTCACTGGGATGGACTGTGACTCCCATTGTCACATGACATCGTGAGCTTGGGGTCCTTTGCTACGAGGAAAACAACAAAATTAGAAATGAGTCCTTGAAAAACGACTCTGGTTGTTGGGAAACTGACCTGGGATAGAGAGTTCTCTCAGCCCTGGGTCCTGTCTGCTCCTGCGGGAGCTGAATTGACATGTCTTTTTGGCTTTTTAAATATGGGTTTTGATTGTTATGACTTTTCTATTTTGTAGTTCTCTGAGTATGCTGCCTTCAGATACGGGGAAACACTTAAAGCTCCTAAATGCGGGCATTCCTTCGTAGGAACCTTCTGAGCACTGTTACTTTTGCAGTGGGAAATGAGATGGGAATGACACCAGTGGACAGAGAGGTCAGGTGTCTCAGGGGACTTAGTGGCCGCTCTGCCTGGGTTTGTATGCTACTGCTGGGCCTTAACTCAGGGTAATGAAGTGCCTAGAGCAAGGGGTTCTCCCCCATCCTGGGTTTGGAAGCCTGAACACTGCAGGGCTGTGTGGGGCTGGCTCCCTGTCCTCTCATTGGCTAATGAACTACGTTGCTTTAGAAACCTGTGGGGTGTCCCCTCCTGTACCTAAGGTGTTACACTGTGAACCTCACAGACCCGGCACTATGAAGACCATAGAATTAAATTTAACTGCTTTGAGTCTCTTGGCATCAACAGATTCTTGAATCTTTTAAACTTTTCTTGTTTTTTTTTTTTTTAAATTGCAGAAATAGTATTTTCTCCCAATAAATAGTGATGAAGGATTACTGCTTTATGTTTTTTTCTGCAAACCAAAAACCACTGTGCTAACCTCTCAAACTGTAGTGAAAAACAGCAAGACTTACCCCTCCCCAACCCATGGTAAGACTGTAGGTTATTGGAGCACTATGATAGGCTTGGGGCCATTACAGACAGCAGAGATCCATACTCTCTTTCTTTTTAAAGAGTTATTTACTTATTTATGAGTACTCTGTCTTCATGCATACCAGAAGTAGGAATCAGATCGCATTACAGATGGTTGCAAGCCACCATATGATTGCTAGGACTTGAACTCAGGACCTCTGGGAGAACAGCCAGAGGTCTTAACCCTTGAGCCATCTTTCCAGCCCAGTGAGCCCAGTACTCAGTGAGTTGTATGTGTGTATAACACCAGCATTAGGGAGACGATTCGATCCTGGGGGCTTGCTGGCCAGCTAGGCTAAAAGAGGTGATGGGACCCTTTCTCAAAAACTACATGGAGAGACACCCAGCATCGACCTCTGACCTCCACACACACATCTACACATGTATATTATATCACACGCACACGCACGCGCACACACACGCAAGATAATTAAGTTTTCTTGTGTGCTGATTTTATTACATTTGCTTTGTCTTCATTTTGGTGATTCTTTTCCTATTTCAGAGTTTCTAGAGCAGGGAGAACATTCTTGAAAGTCTCTGGGACTCTGCATCACGGACCAGTGTTCTCTCTAGACCCTGCTGGTTGCGTGGGATACCTCTTTGGCACCAGTGATGTGATCAGCTACTGACTGCCGAGAGGGGAGGGCGCTAGAGAAGCCTTCAGTTTAACTTTGTCCTTGCAAATTTCTAGAACATATCCATGGGCATAACACTTCTTTCTTCCTTCCTCCCTCACCCAGCCAGGCCCCAGGAATGAATTCCTTCCAGAAACTCAGTAGCATTTGAAAGACCATTGCTGGACACTGTCCTCATAAGGGGCGAGTCCTGCTCAGAAGGTGGACTGGGTTTTTATATTCAGAATTCCTTTCTGTCTGATCTCCTCTCTGGGCTTATGCGCTCATCTGCCCCCCAGAGAGGCCAGTGGCACCAAATTGCTTTCTTTCTCAGGAAGCTAGGGTAGCAGGTTGTTGGGATCCTGCTACCTTTCCCCACTTGAGGGCAGGACAGAGCACATTTATCTGGGCACACTGGTGAGCTGGTACCCAGAGTGTGCTTTCTTCACAGTATGAGGCTGGTGTAGCCAGGCCATGCTCACAGGATGCTCTTCAGCAAATGGACACTGTTGAGGAGAAACAGGAGGAAGTACTTGAATTTACCCTCTTGTGGAATATGAAGCTCGCCAAAGTGACCCCCTTCCTGGACTGGAGATGGAACACAGCTCCATGTATGCTAGTCAAGTTAAAATGATAGGTTTCCTGAATTTGTATATTTTACATGTCAGAAAAATAGCTAAGACCCACTGTCCTTAAAGAGAAAAAAATAAATATAGGCTACTCTTAGAGGTTTTTTATTTTATTTTTACTATTACATTGCACCCAAGATTTGTTTTTTGTAAGTTGTTGCTTGTCTGTTTTTTAAGACAGGGTTTTATTATGGAACCCTGGCTGGCCTCAAACTAATTTCTTCTGCCTTGGCCTCTCGAATGCCAGGATTATCCGGGATTACCATGCCTGCCACCAATCCCCAGTTTAGCTAAATAGGTACACTTTTATTTACGTATGCGTCTGTCGACAGCACTGGAGGTTGAACCAGCATGTAACTACCGTGAGCTCCACCCGCAGCAGATACGGCCTACTTTAATTTGTGAAGGTTGAGTCAGTTTGCAGGGAACACGTTGTACAAGTCCTGCTTGTCCACTGATGTGTGTGCCCAGGAAGCTTCTAAATGAAACAGTTGTGTAAGGGCATTGAAGCTCGGCTCTCATGACGCTCACAGACGAGGTCCAGCAGAGCGGCCACTGGGGTATTGTCTTACTGCCTGCCTATAGGGCGAAAGGTATCAAGGGCATCAAGGAGCTGGAGTCATAGTCCAGGCTGAAGCTTAGAGATCTGTGCAGACCACGGCCCGTCAGTGATGACAGTGCAGAAGTGGCCTGCTCTGCTGTGTGCTCATGGGTCCCAGTTGCCTTTGGTCTGCTGGAGGCTCTGCAGATCCTGATATTCCTTAGTTGCCGCACTGATGTAAATGTTTAGCTGCCGTACTAGGGAAGGTGTCACATACCCGCAGTCACAGTACATGAAGGCTGAGACAGGAAGATTGCATGTTTGAGGCCAGTGTAGGCTGTTAAGACGGGGGGGGGGGGGGGGGCAGTTACAAAAAACAAAATAAAAAAAACAGAAGAAGAAAATGAACAGTGACCTGCCATCGCCAGTGCAGGAAGCAGAGTGTGAAAGAGCAGGACTGTCTCAGGCCCCTGTGGTCCGCACATGACTTCTGGGAGGAGCTCTGCCTCGGGAGCTGGTGGCACTGGACATGGGCGCGAACAGAAAGTTACATGTTTTGCTGTTTTCAAAGTGCAAAGTGTTGTCCCCTTTTGTATTAATGACAATATGCTATGCCACCTTCTAGTACCTTCTGCTGTATGACTAAACCTCTCCCTCCCTCCCCTCCCCCTCCCCCTCCTTTCTTTTAATGTACTAATTCTGTTTTCAGTACAAATATCTCTGGCAGTTCTAACCCGGATTCTGGCAGTTGACACCAGGCTTCCTGCTGTCTAGAGTGCCTTGATGGGATCACAGCCCCCACCCCCACCCCCCAGTCACCCTCTGCTCTGGTGTACACTGAGGGAAGGGAATCCCCTGACTGGTGCTTTGATGTTTGACAACTTAATGACTTAAGATTCTTAAAGCCAACTTTGTTTCCACAAATCTTGCTAGGATGGCTAATCGACTAATGGATCCACTTAGTATATTAATTTCTGTTGCTCTTTTCCTCTCCAATGCTGCCCCTCAGCCCGTCTGGCATGTTTGATTATGACTTTGAGTAAGTCTGATTTGAATCAGTGTCTGTGCTGTGTTGTTTAGTGTATAGACACCGGTATGCCCTTGTGAGATCTCTCTAACCCATAGTTTATCTGTTTAATTGTAGGTATGTATATTAGGTTAGGCTGGGAAGTTTTTTTTAAAAACAGAAAAACGTGATGGAGGTAACATTTTATTTAATAACTTAAGCAAAATTAAGTAAACTTCACTTTTATGCATTTTCATTTCTTTTTAAATAGATAACCTGTACTTTTAATTCATAGTTAAATTGATTTCCTGGCTTTGCTTTGTAAGGAGATTAGTAGCTTAAGATTTTGATATTTTGCTTTGAAAAGATTTAAAAATTGAAATTCTTGTAATTTCTTTTGTGTTTCATATCCAGAAACACAAACTCCTAGTCTCTTTGCTCTCGGTCACTGTGAGCCTCAGACTGCCGGTGACGTAGTTACAGAGCTAACCCATTGACCTGAGCATGCCCTCTTGATCCATTTTCTCTAACTTTGCAGTAGATTTTATTTAAAAATTATGGCTTTTGTAACTGCTACACGTTTCCTTTTTGAATCACCTCAGTTTACTTATGGCAAACCTGTCTGCTCATGTTTTTAATACTTGCTTAATATCTGAGAAAGACGACTAAATTATGACAATGTAATGAAGAATCTGGACTTAACTGAGTAGCCTTTGTCATAGCTGTGCCCTATGCAGTAGCTGCTTGTTGCCTCGTTTCTATAAGTTAAAGTGCAAATATCTTTTATTTTTCTTACCACAGGATTGATCTGAAGTTAAACAAAAAGCCCCGAGCTGTAAGTATCAGCCAGACAACTCAGGAAGACTGGCAGTGTTTCGTTTTAAAACATTTTGCGTTTGTGGTCCAGACACAGGGCTCATTCATGCTAGACAAGGGCTTTGCTGATGATGTGTGTCACAGTGGCTGGCAGGTCTCCCAGTGACCCTAATGGAGGGCCACACTGAGGTTTCTAGACTCTGAATGTTCATCTGGGTCCTTCAGCTTCCAAGGTGTTCTTTACTACAACACTTTGGTAACAGACATGGGGGCCCACACCTTTAATCCCAGCACTCAGTCAGCAGAGATGGCTGGGACTTAGAGGTCAGCCTGCTCTACATAGGGAGTGCCAGGTCAGCCAGAGCTCCATAATAAGAACTTGTATTGAAACAACAAAACAAGCCGGGCAGTGGTGGTGCACGCCTTTAATCCCAGCAATTGGGAGGCAGAGGCAGGCGGATTTCTGAGTTTGAGGCTAGCCTGGTCTACAGAGTGAGTTTCAGGACAGCCAGAGCTGTTTCGAGAGAAACCCTGTCTCGAAAACAAAAACAAAAAAACAAAAAACCAAACCAAAACAACAAAACAATTAGCAAATGAATCACACATTTTTTTTTCTGGGGGGGGGGGGAAGGTTCTTCTGTTAATTCATGTAGCTCTTTTTTTGCTGGTCTTTGTGGCCTAAAGGTATGTCACTGTACATGTGAAATGCAAGATATTATAACTGAAATAGAACTTTTAGCTACACAGAAATTCTCTAGCACAGTTGTTTATGATTTTTTTTAATTTTTAAAAATTATTTATTAATCATTTAATGTATGTGAGTATACTGTAGCTGTCTTCAGACACACTGGAAGAGGGCATCAGATCCCTTTACAGGTGGTTGTGAGCCAGTGCTCTTAACCACTGAGCCATCTTATTTTATATATATTCATATATGCATATACATACATACAAGGTATTAATACTTGCTTAATAGTGAGAAAACAATTGTGTGTGTGTATGTATGTATGTATGTATGTATATGTATGTATGCATGTCTATATGTATGTCTATATGTATGCATGCAGATAAACCAAGGCTACTGGTAAGTTGTGACTTTTGTTTCTTTCTCTTTAGGACTATTAGAAGACTTGCTAGCAGAAGCTTCCAGGCTGTGAAGCCCTGCTTCCCCTCTGACCTCACAGCGACAAATGTCCCTCGCCTGACTGTGGCCATCTGCCTCTGACCCCGAGACCCAGTGCCTGTAACTGGCTAGTCTGTCCTAACTGTAGTGACAAGTTCTCCCTATAAGACTTTGGGTTGTTCGCTGTTGTCATCGTTAGAACAGCAGGAAGACCTGTCCTTGGTCCCAGTCCCTGCGGGTGGCTAACTGTGCATTTCTCCCTTCTTAGAATGAATGTCTCCCCCCAAACTGGCTGGCACCAGCTCCATCTGTGACCCCCCCCCTCCATCGAGAAGTGCACACACCTCTGATTCTGTGTTACGCTAAAAGTAGACCCCAAGGTCCTTAGCAGATGGAGGCTGTAAATATCTGCCATTCTCTTGTTTTGTTTTGTGTCGTATTGTTTTTTTATTGTTGTTTTTACCATCTGATTTTCTTTTGGGACATTTTGTGATGCCTGTACCTTCCCGATGACACATCTGATCGTCTGTTTCATGTGGTGTCGATATTCATAACTGAAACTAAAGTGGCTTTTAGAAGGAAACGGGCACTTGGCTCTTTGGCTTCTTGATTTCTTCAGGGGAAAGTAGAGATTATTTAATGACAGACGGCCTATTCGGAGCAGTTCATGTTCGAGGAACAAGAAAGCTGAAAAGCACACACTGAAGCCCTCTCGTTGAAATAGACATTTCCCTGGTTGACACTTCTTGCATTCCTCCTAAACCTGAGCTTCTTTCCTCTCTATTTTACTACTACCATGCCTGTCGGAGATTTTCTTTTTCCATCTTTTCTCTTTTTGCTGATATTCACCTGGTTAGATATTGCTCTAAAAATCACCAAGTCAGTGGAAAAGCCCAGAATTACTGAACCTCAGCTTCCACTGAGTAAAGTGAGATCCTCACAAGAGCCAGCACTGCTCACAGATGTCCTTCCCCGAAGAGCTCCATGCCCCATCCTTGTGTCCTTGGCTGCACTTTGCAGTCACTTGGGGAGCTCAGCCCAGTGCTGATGCTGGGATCCCAACCCCAGAACTCTAGGGTATGCCTTGGTGTTGAGGTTCTAAAGAGTCCAAGCTGCTGGAAGCCACTGTGGTAAGAGACTGAGCCATACAGAACTGGATCAGGATGAGGGTTAAGATTCAGGGTCTTGCCTGTCCTCTGATGGTCTATTCACAAGTCCTCTCCTATGCCTGGGTCTTTGTAGGAGACTTGAGCCTTTGTGGTCATGTTGTTGGCAGAGATGGCTGGCCTCTTAACCAGAATCACCCTGTCAGATGTGCAAAAGCCTTTCATTTTGTTCTTAAACAGACTCCTTTTCTTTGATGATTTCCTGATCTTTGGCTATGTCTTTTGTCAGCGGTTCTTAAGGAAGTAGTTTATTAGTTTATATTATGTAGATTGTTACTTGAGAAGGAAAATCTCAGAAGCATTTCGTTAGTTTATTGCTTTGTCCTTAACTCTGAGGAAAGCGTGTGACTCTAAAACATCTGGACCTCCACAGTTGACTGTGCCCTGGAGGGATAGTGGAACTGCTCAGTAGAAGGTGTATTATTTATTTACTACAGTGCAGAGAGTTGGACACAGCCCCCCCCCCCCCAACACACACACATGCTAGGCAAGTGATCTACCACTGAGTACACTCCCAACCCCTGAAGGTGTGGTATGCAATAACATGTCTGTGTATGTAACTGACCCCGGGTGTGTGTAGAAGACTGGCTTGTGGGCTATTGTTTTATGCCTCCCCCCATCCCCAACCTCCACCCTGTAAAGTTTAACTGTTGATTGGGTCTTCTAGTTTTCCTGTAAACTGGACAGTGGTACTCAGGCTTTGATAAATTACTTACTTTTCCTGTTTCTGAGTAGCTTCGAACAAGGGCATCAAGGATACCAGTGGTTAGCTCAATGACAGAGTAATTGTCAAGCATGCACAGAGTCCTGGGGGTTGACCCTCAGTACCGTATGATCCTGGACACGGTGGTGTATGCCTTTAGTCCTAGTTCTCAGGAGGATCACAAGGCAAGGGTCATCCCTGGCTACGTAGGGAGTTTGAGGTTCGTTTGGGCCACAAGGAACTTTACTGTAAAAACAAAATACCAACTCCAATAAACGCTGACACTAGCTTTATCAACCATGTTTATAGTTCATGGAAGGAATGAGTGAGTGCTTGCTTACACGCAGGAATTTTTATCTCAGTGGGTAGGATTGCCTATCGCTGCAGCCAGCAGTCCCTACACTGCAGTGGCATCTAAGGCCCTTACGTGTTGTGGGAGGGACTAGTTAGTTAGCCAACTCCTGAGTCAGGTGTGACAGCGCAGGTCTGTAATCTTAGCACTTGGGAGGTGGAGGCAGAGGAGTTCAAGGCCAGCCTAGGCCATTAGCAGCTGGCCTGGGTTGGAGCCAGCTGAGAAGCAACAGCTGATTCCAGAGATGCCCCTGTCCTCCAGAAAGACAAAGGAAAGGCGTGGGGGGCAGCTCACTAGCTGCTGCAGCTTGTTGCTCTGTGCTTCTCTCTAACTCAGGAAGAGCTCACCCTTGGCCTCTGGTAGTTGTAAGACAAAACCTGGCCTTTTGTGATAACTTCTTTGCCCACTACTTGGAGGACAAGTAGCTTTACTCTAGTGCAAAGCTTCATGAGTCAAGAGTACTATTCCAAGGACTGAGGAAGGGGCCGTTCTGTTTAAAGTCATGTTCCAGCATGCTGAGGTGCATGAGGAGATGGGGAGCAGGACCAGCCCATGGGTTAGGAGCCTGCAGGAGGGGCCTTAGGAATTGGGACAAGCACAGTGTGGGGCCAAGAGCTACGCTTTCAAAGCTGCTGTTTTGACCCAGTGAGGTCCCATGTCTCAGGAGCCTCAGGACACCAGGAGAAAGGCATCCGTTACTGCACAGGTTAAACCATTTTTCCACACTTGAGTTTGTACTGTTTGCTTTCAGGGAAAACCTTTTGTTCCAAGAGTAGGAAACAGGCAGTGGGGTCTTCACCTGAAAACATGAGCCTTTGTTCTGGGGCACAGCAAGTGGAGAGAGTGGTGCCCCCGTCTCCACACTTGCAGTATAAAGGAAGGACTAAGGAGCCCGCGCTTGTAAGCTGTCGGCCTGTGGTTTTAAAACACTCTCTAGCTTGGCTTTTGCTCCTATTTGGACTTTCCAACCCTCAGCCTTATTCCAAATCACCAAGGCATTTGCACACTTGCAGATCTATTCAGAAGCTATGACTTGATGTTCTGGTAGAAGGAGGTAGAAGGCAGTGGCCTGTACATTACTTCCTTTCAACACAGACTGTCTGAATAGTGCCTAGGAGGGCTGTGTGTGTGTGTGTGTGTGTGTGTGTGTGCAGGTGCCCTTGCATGAAAGTGTGTGAGGGGAGGGTATCCTGGTCTAACCCAGTGTTCAAAATGGGTGTTCCAGGTCTGGATTTGTGGGGTTAGCCTCAGGATTTGAAGCACAGGTTTCATTTTGAGAACTGTTCTGTGGAGTCCGTCGTACCGTGGGTCTGAAAGGAAGTAGGGTGTGGCAGCGGGGGTGTCCAAGGGAGAGTGGGCGTGGAAAGGCTCAGGATGTGGGAGGAAAAGATCAGATCTTTGATGCGTTTCCACTTGGGACCTCAGCCCTATGTAGTTCTTTACTTTGAATATGTTGTGTAATACACGTAAACATTAAATCATTAGTACATGTGGATAATTTATAAATAAATATTAGGTTGAACCACAAGAAACTGCTGAGAGTGAAATTGTGTTTCTCTATGAAAAGGTGACTGCTGTCATGGTTTAATAGCATGTGTTGGAAGTATGTGTACTCCAGATTTTTATTGTTGATGTGCAAGAATACACTGTGGGCCCCTGGTCAGAGGTCTCCCAGCTCCACCCCCAGAAACACTGTTTCCAGAGATGGTAGGGGGGTGGCTGTGCTCCGCCCTCTATTTATTTATTTATTTATTTATTTATTTATATTTTTTTGTTTCTTTTTTTTTTTTTCCAAGACAGGGTTTCTCTGTGTAGCTCTGGCTGTCCTGGAACTCACTCTGTAGACCAGGCTGGCGTCGAACTCAGAAATCCTCTGCCTCCCAAGTGCTGGGATTAAAGGCATGCGGCACCACCAACTGTCCCACCCACCCTCCATTTCTGAAGTGGCTTCTTAGATTAGAAAATATCCCAAGCCAGTTCTTGGGCTGGCAAGATAGCCCAGTGGTTAAGGCATTGGCTTCATGATTTGAGTTTGATCCTTAGGATCCACGGCACAAAAGCTTGAGGACCGACTCCCTGATACTGTCTGCCCGTGCACACCTGTAATCCCAACCAGCAAGTGGGAGGCTGAGGCAGGAGGAGCTTCCCTATCTCAAGCTACCCGAACCAACAAAAGCAAGCCAAATCCCACAGAGATAGCCGCCCCCTTCTTACTAATATTCCCCTGCCAGTGCTAGTTTCTTTAGCCTGCGCTCTGATTGATAGTGTTGCTGTCCTAGGAAATGCCCTCCATCAGTCTGAGGAAGAGTGCGCTCTCGGGATAAATTAGTAGGCCGGCTGAGTCAAGAGCTCTGATTCGAGCCAGGCAGTGGTGGCGCAGGCCTTTAATCCCAGCACTTGGGAGGCAGAGGCAGGCGGATTTCTGAGTTCAAGGCCAGCCTGGTCTACAGAGTGAGTTCCAGGACAGCCAGGGCTACACAGAGAAACCCTGTCTTGAAGAACCAAAAAAAAAAAAAAAAAAAAGAGCTCTGATTCTTAGGTGATGTGGAGTACAGGTCCCCTTTCCCTTTCCCCACATCCTGCCAACAATGACCAGACTCAATTCGTTTGGAATGGCAGCTCGTAGTTAAGTATATACAACTATATATATTTTTTTCTCCTTGATTATTCTTCCAGCCTGTATGTGTGTGTTGTGTGTCTGTGTGTGTGTTGATGTGTGTGCGTGTGTGCAGCACGTGTTGCTGAGGGTTGAACTGGGGGATTAACACATGTAGAACACATCTTCACTGATCAGCTGTACTTCCTACCTAAGAATTTTTCTTGGATAATTCATTGCCCGGACAGTCAGAACTTCCTGCGAATGCCTTTGAAAATTCACTGCTTAGACAAAAAGCACACACCTGTGATCTAAGTACTTTGGGAACTGAGGTAGGAGGGCAGTCCTGGACTACATACTGAGTTCGAGCCTGTCCAAAATAAAAGCCAAAAGGAGTTCCCCATCTGTGTCGGTGTTCTGCTTTGCATATTCTCCCAGACAGCGTCACATTTCTACAGCCCATTATTTCAAAATCTCATGGAGTCATTCCTTCCCTTGCCCCCTGAAAGACCATCTGCAGTTTGGGGTATTAGCGACTCCAAGTGAGCAAAGTCACTGGCTCCTGACAGTAGTCGTAGTACTGGGAGCTGCCAGAAGGTGGCAGCAGGGTGCTGCATGCCTGGTGGATTGCAAAGCCATTCCTTCCACAGTCTCCTTGCTGTTCCTTAAACTGGTAAGCAGTTTAGAATAGCCAGCTGCTGCATTGAGAACAGCTTCAGAAGGCACACCCTAGGTTACAGGCTGGGCCTCCTCCCCCTCCAGGAACTGACTAGAAGGATTTACATGCCATGGCCTAGGATAGCTTCGGCTTCCCTAATTACAGGGCCCTACTTCCTGCTTCTTTCAGCCAAGTCTCCCACACCCTTCCCAAGAACTAGGAGATCCACGGACAGGTTCCTGCCACCCATCTGCTATGGGCCAGTGACAGAAGATGAGCCAGGAGATGAAACCTGGGACAAAGGTCCTGGGGTCCTTGGGCCAACTTCCTTCTGGCAGGGCTTGGCTGATAACCCTCTTCCCCAAGTTCAGACCGCTCACTTTACCCAACTCCTCTTTGAGATGGGTTACTCTGTGTAGGCTGCCCCTGGGGAAGGTGGGGAGAGGGCGTTGGTGGTAGGGAAAAACAGAAGTAGGAAATGGAGCTGCAGAGATGGGGCACTGGCCTTGCCCCCACAGGTGGCTCCCCTAATCTTCCCAAAGACACCAGCAGTTTGGGGCGTTAGCAGCTCCAAGAGGGCTTTGCACAGCGGCTTTTTTGTACTTAGCTTAGGTATGAGGATCTTCAGGGACTCCCGATGGGGACAGAGTGGAGACTGACCCAGAGCAAGGGTGCTTCACCCCATGCGGGCTGGCTCAGTCTGGCAGGGAGTACAGAGATTTCCTGTCTCAGGCTACAAGCAAAGGCTGCCCAGTCACTTTGGCTCCTGAGCAGGCTGGAGTCCCCCTTTGAAGGGGTCAGTCTTTGGAGCAGAACTTGCTGAAGCACCTAGAAGTCCCTACCTGTGGGTGCAAGCGGGGGAGGGAGGGCAGGGTGGGAAGGCCCAGCTCAGCTCCCAGGAATCATTTCCCAACAGAGAATTTGCATACACACCAGTTTCCCCATCACCGGCTTGGCTCAAGTAACCAGGAAGAGCTGCGGTAAGGAGAAGCTGGGGCGGCTACTTGGAATTTGATCCCTTGCAGCAAGCCTGGTGACTTGAGCTTTGGTCTCAGGAGTTACATTCTGTCCCTGCCACCCTCTCCCGTTAAGCTCACACGTGGATCACTGTGGGCCAGGCAGCTGAAGCCCTGAGACAAGGGCAGCGAGTAGCCAGGACTGCCAGCTACTGAGCAGGGCTTGAACTGGGGCCTAGTTAAGGTATTCTGTAATGTCTGGAGAGGCGGTACGGTTTTGTGTGCTTTTCACGGGTGGGTGGCCAAGGTCCCATGATTTGGTGCCACTTGTCCAAGTGGCCTTAGTGGGCAGGGGACAAAAGATAGTGAGAACTTTGACATTAACACTGAAGCAAGTCACAAAGAAGAAATAGCCTTGGCTTTGAGCCTGGCTGCTTGGGTAGCCCTGCCCGGAAGCTAGATTGAGAAAGAGGCCTGAAGGCATGGCTCTGTGGCTGGCTAGCCCAGCTGAGCTGAGCTGTCAGGAAGCATGGACACCAAGGCAGACATCAGAAGGCCTGAGCTGACCCTCTTCTCCCCAGAGCCCAGTCCTAGCTGCCATCTACTCTTTGACTCTGTAGCCCTCATTGATTTCAGTGAACCGGCAGGACCAGGCTCTGCCTCCTAACTTTAGCCATAGTCAGCTGGCAGTCATGCTGCTGCCTGCCGGTGGAGTCACCTCATTTCTCACCCCCATAAGACAGTCACAGATGACTTCAACTCTGGCTAAGGAAGCCAGTACAGTGGGAGAGTTTCCCACTTTCTCTTCTGGAGGACCCCTGAATCTCATGTACAGAGAGGGCCCTACTGAATGGGTGAGTGGGTGAGCATTACCAGTTACTTCAACAGGACAAGCTCACTTCCCATTTCTGCAGGGGCTTGAGTCACCATAGTCTGGTGTTAGGTTTTTGGGATCAGGAAGAATACTGAAAGCTCCACCCCAGCCTGCCTTCCTCCGTGGGACCTTGAGCAAGTCACTTAGCATTGCCAAGCAACTGATAATGAACTTGACTGTCCGGTATTTTAGCTTCCTATCCCATAAAGACAAACAGATGCCCACAAACAGCCTTTTAACCTGAGAACACATCGGAGAGTGTTTGTGTGTCTGTGTGTTTTATTTCATGTGTTTGAGACAGAGTCTCATGCAAGCCAGGCTGGCCTGGAACTTGCTTTGTAACCAAAGATGACCTTGAACTTCTGGCCCTCCCACATCTTTCTTCCCAGATGCTGGGATGACAGGTGTATGCTCCAACACCAGGTGCTGAGTATTGAACTCAGTGCATGATTGGCTACATTCCCAGAGCCCTGGACAATATAGTTCTGTTGTAAGTGGAAGTAAGGCATTCCCGTCTCTCCTTATGCTGATAAAAGCTCTGGAGGAGGCTGAGAGAAACAAGATGGGATAGAGACCTTTGATGCCTGTGGAAAGGAGGCTTCCAGCTCACGCATGCCAGCGGATCCTCATCCCTGCCTTAAGCAAGAACTTCTGGAAGGGTGGTCAGGGAACAGCTGGGTGGAGCTGGTGGGGCTGATCCTGGAGTAACATTTTCCTCCAGAGCTTTACAGCTGTTCTGTACTGAAGTCGTTTTTAAAACAGAAAAATACTCTAAGCTACACTGACCACTAAGTACAAATCAGAGGAACTGTTCAAAGGTAGGGGTTATTAAAGCTATAATTTTTTCTCCTTTTTCCTTGGCTGATAATGTTTGCTTGGGAGTTGTGTGCTAGCCTAGCCTTTCATTTAAAATATTTAATACTCATGTTCATATTTTGAAGTTGGAGCTAAGAGGAGGGAAGAAGGTATCATCTTGTCTGGGCTTGTCTAGGGCTGATGAGCAGTTTGACGTGGCGAACAGGGTCAGTCCTGTGAACCCGCCTACAGGAGTCATGGTTATGGAAGTCTTGTAATGAGCTGTTCCTGTGTGGCAGGAGGCAGGTCACATACCTAGCATGTATTATCTCACTGAACCCTCATGACAAGCCTGTAAGGTAGTTGCCATTAGTTTTCCCATTTCATAGATGAAGAAACTGAGGCCTGGGAGGGATAGTCCCTTGCTCCAGCTGGTAGAGTCAGTGGCAGGGCTTCTCCATCCGAGCTGCTGCCACCACCCCAGCCCTCCCTCACCCTGCTTTGCAAACCCTGGTTCTTTGAACGCACAGCAGATCTGGGAGGAGCCTGAGTGCAGCACCCAAGGGCTCCCTCCCTACTTGCATCACCTCACCTCCTATGGCCTTGATCAAGTCGGTTCCCTGTTTCCTACCCTCAATTCTTGTCAGCA